CCCCGCGGGGAGAATCAGGAGCAAGGTGTCAAGCTCCAAGCAGCTCTGGATTTGGGTACTGTGGGACACCCTGAATCCGGAACTGGGCATCTTTGAGCTCCCCTCAAAGTCTGAGTTTCTTCTGGGCAGCTTCGCTGTCTGAAAACCCTGCACACCATACCCCACTGTTCTCTGGCCCTTTGAACAGATATTCCCTAACTCTGCTGCTTCTCCTCTGAAACTGATAAGGTCCCAGAGGCCCAGGATGGTGCCCTTCTGGGGTAATGAGATGGGTTTATTAAGTTTAGCCATCTTTTAGAGCTTAGCCAGAGCTTCCCTTCTGAATGAAAATGACAGAACGTGGGTTTCTACCTAATCAGAATGTAGGGGGATGGCCCAGGCAGCTGTACGTGTTTCAACCCAGCCTTGTAGCCCAGGCTTTTCCAAATCTCTTTCCTGAGTCCCCAAGCTTAGCCAGGTGTGGGTAACACAGCCAAGTTTTGCCACAGGTGTCCCCACTGGTGGCTTATTGGACAGCCATGACTTTATTGGGAAGACTGATGATGAAGGTTTCCCTATGGTGTATGGGAACCTACCAGATTCCTCCCACTCCCCCCACATGCCCCTTGCTCCTAAGGAGACTGCTAGGTCTGTTGGAAGCTACCCCTACAGAGTGTGTAGTAGGACACCCCTCTCTGATCCTAGGCAAGTCACTTAATTTATCTAAGCTGCCTCCCTGGGAGTTAATGCAAAATGTCATGGAATGGAGCCTTCCACGTAGTGTAAATAGGGACCCAGAGGAGTAAAACCATGTCTTATCTGCCCCATCAACTGGTGGGATTGTTGGGGGTATCAATGAGGCAGTGAAGGAAAGTGTTGTGTTTGCCTTGGCTCCTCCCACTTTCTGTTTGGTGTTGGGACTGTTACTGAGGGTCTCTGGGCCTCTGTTATACCACCTAAAATGGAGATAATCCCGGTGCCTAGTTTATAGGGTCGTGAGGACTAAATGATGTCCACAAAGCATTAACACCAAACCTGGCCCACAATACTCACTAAGTGTCAGTGTTGATTATTCAGGTACAGGAAGCTTTATAGAAGTAGCACAGGTTGTCAACCACCTTTGGAGATACCACAGAATGGTTACATGACTTGCCCAGAGTTGCCTGGCTGATCGATTTCAGGGCTGATACCCAGATCTTCTGACTCCAAGTCCATGACTTTTACCGTCACTCTCAGCTCCTTGATTTCTCCCAAGAACTGAGGAGTTAGAAAGCTAGCCTGTTGTTTGTTTCGCTTGCTCCTAGGAGTGTGGCCATCTGGGGCCGTGTGGTATTTGCCACTCAGGAGTCATGTCCCTATGACATAGCAGTGGTGAGCCTGGAGGAGGACCTGGATGATGTCCCCATCCCTGTGCCCGCTGAGCACTTCTACGAAGGTAAAGGACCAAGGGTGCAGCCTGAAGGAGGGCCCCTCTGGGCTAGGGTGGGCCTCAGGAAAGAGAATCAGTGTTGGGCATTCTCATGAAGTCAGGGTGGCATTGGTCAAGGTCCTTGGAGGCCTCCCTTCTTATGCTGGTAGGGAATGTGGAATACCCTGTGAAGGATAAAACACGCCCTTTCCCCGAGTGCCTGCAGCAGTGTAGCGTGAGGATATGGGGCTTTGGGGTTCCTTAACAGTTACTTCAGGCTGGTCAGAGAGGCACGTGGCACTTTCAAGGCTCCAGGGGCATGATTTGGGTAAAAGGCTTTGTGATGCTGCCACATAAGTACCGATGTCGCACTCCATGGAGGCAGTGATATGGTGATGAAGGGTGCAGGGGCTCTGGATGAGCATCTTTCCTCTGCCACTTACTAGTCCCATGTCCTTGGACAGGCTTGTTAACTCTCCTCTGCCTCATTTTCCACGTCTTTGGAATGGGGCTAATGTATCCTGCTTCTGGGTGTTGTGAGGGCTGGGTGTGATGTTGCCTGTAAAGCACTATTTCCATGCCTTGCACTTGGAAAAGGAAGGTCATAGCTGCCTTATAGCCATCGTCACCTTTTCTTTTCACCAAGAGACTTCTTAGGAGTCCCAGGAGGAGATGGATGTGAATTCTATAAACATTTATTCAGCGTGTAGCTAGGTGTTAGGAACTCCTAAAAGTCACTGCCCTGCCTGTCCAGGGAACGAGGACTGGGGAACAGCCTGTTGCTCAGAAGTGGTCATGCAGATACAGTGCTAGGAGCTCAATGGGGTTCCCAGCCTCTTCCAGCCAGGGGACCTGGGGAAGGCTCTCTGGAGACTGGAGTATCTGAGCAGAAACTTGAAGGCTGGAGAGGTTTGGGGCGTTTGGAGAGGGTAGGGATGGGGGTTAGGGAGTGTGAGTCCTGCTGTAACACAGGTGTCCCCAGCTTCACCCTCCTTCCCTCCCTGGCAGGCGAGGCTGTGAGTGTGGTGGGCTTTGGCGTCTTTGGCCAGGCTTGTGGGCCCTCGGTGACCTCAGGCATCCTTTCGGCTGTGGTGCAGGTGGATGGCATGCCCGTGATGCTGCAGACCACATGTGCTGTGCACAGCGGCTCCAGTGGGGGACCCCTCTTCTCCAACCACTCAGGAAACCTCCTTGGTAACCAGCTCTTTGTCCCCCTCCTGCCCTTCCTCTTGCTAGAACCTCAGTCCCACCCCATGAGTGCTTGTAGCCAGCCCCAATGCACCCTCTCTCTGGGAAAATGGTGGGCATTATGAGTGAGCTAGCCAAGGTTTGCAGGCTCTTCTCCTGATGGTGGAGAGGGAGGGATGCTGAGCTGGGAAGAAACAGATCTGGGCCCTGGTCCCTTCTCTGCCACTCATCTAATCTGGTTTGATCTGCGAAATTCAGGAGTTGGATTAGTCAAAGCATCACAGACTCAAAAGCCAACGTAAAGCAAATGAATGAGAGAAGACAACAGGGAGAGGAGGGGAGGGGTCTAAACTGAAGCACACTGTGGCCGTGAAGGAGGATGGGCCTAACGTTGGCTGGTATTCTAATATTTTCACAAGACATGCAAAGCTTTTTTAAAAAAATACGTGTGGCCGTTACATCGATCAATTTTTTTTTTTTTTTTTTTTTTGAGACAGAGTCTTGCTCTGTCGCCCAGGCTGGAGTGCGGTGGCTGGATCTCAGCTCACTGCAAGCTCCGCCTCCCGGGTTTATGCCGTTCTCCTGCCTCAGCCTCCCAAGTAGCTGGGACTACAGGCGCCGGCCACCTCGCCCGGCTAGTTTTTTGTATTTTTAGTAGAGACAGGGTTTCACCACGTTAGCCAGGCTGGTCTCCATCTCCTGACCTCGTGATCCGCCTGTCTCGGCCTCCCAAAGCTAGCATGGGCGACAGAGTGAGACCTTGCCTCTAAAACAACAAAAACAAGAACAAAAAAACCTGTGAATAAATAAAATAACCTGCACTCTTAAAAATGTCAAGGCCATGAAAGATAAGGAAAGACTGAGGAACTGACCCAGATTGGAAGAGATTTGAGAGATGTGACAACTAAATGCAATATGGAGTCCTAGATTGGATGCTGGAACTGAAAAAGGACATTAGTGGAAAAACTAGTGCAACTCATGCCAATGAGTTCTATAGTTCACTTAATAACAGGATTGTACCAAGGTATATGTTTTGGTTTTGGTAAATACTTTTTGGTGACATTAGATCTGAACATAAGCTGGTCAAAGGGTATATAGAATTCTGCAGTATTTAGGCAAAGCTTCTTTATGTCTGAAATTATCTTTAAAAAACTACACACACATCCATGCACCGAACAGGCCAAACAAAACATGTCTGTGGGTCTCATTCATTCATTCATTCATTCATTCATTCATTCATCCATCCATCCATCCATCCATCCAACAAGCCTTTGTTGAGAGCCCACTTGGCATAAGGCACTGTTCCAGGTACTGGGGAGACTGCATGAACAAAACATCAAAGTCCTGCCCTCATGGAGCTGACACTAGGTGGAGAGAAAGATAAGTGAAATAAGTGAACTATCTAGTGTGTTAGATATTGAGAGTGTGAAGGAGAATGTAAAGCCAGGAACGGGTGTGGGCAGCAGGTATTCATGTCTAGAAGCTCAGCATCTGTCACCATGGGGGGTGGTTTCCAGTCCTACCCAGCCCTGGGGGCTCCAGGGTGGAGATGGTCCTCCTCCCTTCTCCAGCCTTTCTGCCTCCTGGCTCACATCCCCTTTTGCTCTCTGACTCCTCAACAGGCATAATCACCAGCAACACCCGGGACAATAACACGGGGGCCACCTATCCCCACCTGAACTTCAGCATTCCCATCACGGTGCTCCAGCCGGCCCTGCAGCAGTACAGCCAGACCCAAGACCTGGGTGGCCTCCGGGAGCTGGACCGCGCTGCTGAGCCGGTCCGGGTGGTGTGGCGGCTGCAGCGGCCCCTGGCAGAGGCCCCGCGGAGCAAGCTCTGAGGCTGTGTTACCTCCTCTGGAAAGAAGAGTGACCTTTTTCTGCTGTAGGAAGTGATGTTGAGGTGATGGTGGCCTCAGGATTCAGGGCCCAGCTCCTGAGGGGGCCTGGGCTGCTTCTCATCTTCACCCACTGCCTGCAGTCTGGGCTTTGGGCTCTGGGGCCAACTTATCTTCAGCCCCATGGGAAGAGCCCGTTTTGGGGTGCTTTCTTGAAACCCCAGTTCTCTGTCCCCTAGCACTAGACTCAGCTGTATTGTTTTTCCTTCTGGGGAGCCCACTTCAACTGCACAGAGGTTCTGGGCCTGACAGGTAGATGCCAGCTGGAAGGCAGGCCTGTGCCTGGTTTTGCGTCTGTTCCCCTGAGGGCCACCGTCGTCCTGGAGCTTCACTGGGGCCTTGGCTCCTGTCTGCCTGTCAGTCAGGTCAGGGCTGACAGAGGACTCTGATTCCTTAGCATATCTCAGCAGAAACCTTGCTCTCAAGAACAGAGACAGAAAGGACAGAAACAGGAGTGCCTCCTGTTGTGCCAGGCCCGTGGGCAGTACAGGCAGATCCCTGAAGGTCAGTACTCCTGGGTCTTTATATGCCAACAGGGGCACTCTGACACTGTGCCTTCATTTTCCAGCCCACAGCCTGTGTCTCAGGGACCTTGAGAAGTGGAACATATCTGGTTGGGGCTTGGGAATAAACATGATCTATTGAAAAACCTCTATTTATATATCAAATTATTTCTTTTTTCAGGAGTTGAATTGGGAATAGGCAAGTACCAGGCGAAGAAACACACCCTTTCCTTTTTTTTTTTTTAGAGCTGTAGTCTTGCTGTCTCCCAGGCTGGAGTGCAGTGTTGCAGTCATAGCTCACTGCAGTCTCAAACTCCTGGGCTCCAGGAGACCTCCTGCCTCAGCCTTCTGAATAGCTGGGACTACAGTCATGTACCACCACGTCTGGCTAATTTTTTTATTTTTGTAGAAATGGGGTATTGCTTTGTTGCTCACACTGGTTTCAGCCTTCTGGTTTCAAGCAGTCCTCCTGCCTCAGCTTCCCCAAGTGCTGGGCTTACAGGTGTGAGCCACTGTGCCTAGCCCAGAAATACACCCTTTCTGTGCTGTTTTCTCAGCAGGATTTGAGCTCACGGGATACTGTTCTGCCAGACTGGCCCTCATAACTGGTCATGTGCCAGTCAGAGCTGGGTGGGGCTTGCAGGTCCCGGAAGGCGGTGGTCTTGACCTGGCAGCAGGTGCTTAAAAAATGCGTAGGGTGAGTGGCAGTTGGGGAGTTCAAGGGTTAATGAGGCCAGGGCAACCCCCAGGAGCTGAGGCGAACTCTGTGAGTCAGGACTGTGCCATGTGCACAGGGCCCTTCATGTGTGGGCCCTTGAGTGATCTCCACTGGCAGGCTGAAAGCCCTGTGAGGGGCGGCTGTGGGCAGAGGCCACGCAGGAAGAGTGCCTAGGAGTCATTTGTTTCTAACACCTGTGTGCTGAGTCTCAATGCTGGGTGTGGTGTTATGATGTATATTGGTTTTCATCCAGCATTCCTGACTCGTGACTCCCATAGTCCTTATTCCAGTCTTTGTTGGAATATTGGGTATGTTAGGGCTCTGGGGGCAGGCCTCTGACCTCTGGGTATCTTTTCACTAATGTTCGCCCACTTTTTTGATGGTGGGTCCTAAAGACCTTCCCATGAGAGAGTCTCAATCCTGGGGGAAGGAATGCTGATGTCATGAAGCTTCCATAAAAACCCGAGAGGACAGTGTTCAGAGAGCTTCCGGATAGCTGAACACCTGGCGCTTCCTGGAGTGTGGTGTGCCCACGGAGGGCATGGAAGCTCCGCACCCCTTCCCCTTCTCTCATTCCTTGCCCTATGTGCATCTCTTCATCTGTGTCCTTTGCGATATCCTTTATAATAAACCGGTAAACATAAGTAAGTGTGTGTCTCTAAGTTCTGTGACCCACTCTAGCAAATTAATTGAACCCAAAGAGGAGGTTGTGGGAACCTCAACTTGAAGCCAGCTGGTCAGAAGTTCTGGAGGCCTAGACTTGTGCCTGGTGTGGTTGAGGGGGGCGGTCTTGGAAACTAAACCCTTAGCCTGTGGGGTCTGACAATATCTCTGGGTAGATAGTGTTGGAACTGAATTAGAGGACACCCAGCTGATGTTCACTGCTTGTTGGTGGGGAAACGCCACACACATTTGGTCACTGAAGTCTTCTGTGTTGATGATTGTGATGGCATGAGAGTAGAGGGAAAACACGATTTGAGGAGAGTTTTTTGTAAAACATGGGGCAATCACAGAACACTCCTGGGATGGTTGTTCTTCCCTTTATAGATTAGGAATGCGTCCAGAGGTCATGGCTAGTTTAAGAGAAGTTCTACAGTAAGTTAATGGTAGCAGAGTCCTAGATCTGAGGGCTGACTTTGCTGTGAGGGGTTGGGGGGGGTTTATTCTCACACATGTGGGTACTGATATGGTTTGGGTGTGTCCCCACCCAAATCTTATCTTGAATTGTAACTCACACAATTCTCACATGTCATGGGAGGATCCTGGTGGGAGGTAATTGAATTGTGGGGCTAGGTCTTTCCTGTGCTGTTCTTGTGACCGTGAATAAGTCTCACAGATCTGATGGTTTTAAAAGCGGGATTTTCCCTGCACAAGCCCTCGCTCTCTTTGCTTGCTGCCAGCCATGTAAGATGTGACTTGCTCCTCCTCACCTTCCGCCATGATTGGGAGGCCTCCCTAGCCATGTGGAACTGTGAGTCTATTAAATCACTTTTTCATCTCAGTCTCAGGTATGTCTTTATCAGCAGCGTGAAAATGGACTAATACAGGTATCAAGGCACCCACAGGCTACTTGGGGAGACTGATGTGTCAGCCCATTAGTGCAATAAGCAGGGAAGCTCTGTCCAGGGAAGAATATGTCTGGGGACCCAGAAGGGGTAAGTCAGGTAAGGCTTCATCAGGGTGATTCAATTTCTGAACTGAAACTCAGTTCAGAAACTCAACTCATGAAAAGTTGAAACTCAGTTCATGAAACTTAACTCATGAAACGTTGAAACTCAGTTCATGAAACTCAACTCATGAAAAGAGAGTTCAGAGTTTACCAAGTGGACTGGAAACAGTGTTCCAGGCTGAGAGCGGCAGGAGCTGGGACAAGGAAGTGTGGCACAGCTTCCTTGTGGAGAGAAAATTGGAAAAGTGCAAGACAGGCCCAGGGACCAGTTACAATGGCTTGGAGAGAGAAGACAGCTGAGGCAGGACTGGTGGGTGTGGTGAGGTCAAGTGACAACACAGGAGGTAGAACTGACGAGCTCCCTAATTTGAGACCAGGTGCTGTGTCTCACGTATGTAATCCCAGCACTTTGGGATGCTTGAACCCAGGAGTTTGAAACCAGCCTAGGCAGCATAGCGAGACCCTGTTTCTTAAAAAAAAAAAAAAAAAGAAAAAAAATTAGCCAAGTATGGTGGTGCACACCTGTGGTCCCTGCTACTTGGGAGGCTGAGGCAGGAGGATGGCTTGAGCATGGGAGTTCGAGGCTGCAGGAGGATGGCTTGAGTATGGGAGTTCGAGGCTGCAGTGAGCTATGATCATGCCACTGCACTCCAGCCTGGGTGACAGAGGGAGACCCTGTCTCTCTAAAAGGAAAACAAAGATCTAATTTGGGACCATGAGTGGCACTCACTTGCCACATCCTGTTAGTCTGGTCTCTGGATGCCTGTGGGGAGGGAGACGGCCTCATTAACCAGTCCACTGGCCTGGAACTGATGCCCTCGCAAGAAATGCACTTCTGTTGTATTTGAGCCATTACATTTGAAGTCTATTGGTCATAGCAGCAGAACTTGCCTTCACTAATATAGCCTCTCCCTAGCTGGGAGCACCATACCAAACCATGTGTTGGGGGAGAGAAGAAATGAGGATATTCCTCTCTTCTTTGAAGCTTACAAATTTAGCTGGAACTACGTATGGAAAAGGAGAACATTTACCTGGCTCTTCAGATCTAAGATTGCCTGTTCTTCAAGTGGGCACACTGCCTCTGTTTCTCTGGGCTCCTGGGGTAACCCAGTACCTTGGAGCTCCTCCAGCCCTGGGAGCCAGCAGAAAAGCCACCTGTTGTCTGTAAGGAAGTGCCCTCAGGCCTGGCTGAGCTCATTACAGCAGTCAGCCAGCAACTCTTCCTCCTCTTAGATTCTGTCATGTTAGACAATCTGCCTGCTGTCCCCACTAACCATCGAAGTTCTGTGGAATGAACTTGTCACTTTTTCAGCATCCTAACCACCACACTTTCCTGCTACCTCTGGCACTTGGAAATTCAGAGACAAAAGCCGTTTTTTAGGCAGCGAGCCCTGATTTTCAGTTCCAAAGCTATGGGCACTGCTGGGTGGGACCAGAGGAGTGGTGTGCAGTGAGCTGCCTGGAGGGGTTGCTTGAGACCAAGTCCTCTCTCCTGGATGGAGGTGTCTTCTGGTTGCCAAGAAAGTATTGAGTGATCATCAGAAAAATTCCTTGGTTTTCATGGTTTGTTGCTTTGTAGCAGGTCTTAAGGAAAAAAATATTTTCATGGTTTGGGACAGGTCCTTAGAGATGGGCCACACCAGCCCTGACATGCCTGAGCCCAGTGGTGGGCCACCTAACACCTCTCTCTCCTTCCTTCCAGCTTTATCTTTGTCCTGCTCTTTCTGGAGTTCTTTCCTTGCATCCTGCCAGCTGGCATTCCCTTTATCCTTGCACGCCTAGCTTCCACACAAAGCCTTCCATGACCTTCCCAAGCCTCAGGGCTGATTCCCTGCACTGGGCAGGCTGTAGCCTCTCTGTTCACCTCTCTGTGTCACATGTTACTGGGTACATGCCCAGTAAATTCCCCACAACTGAGATTCTGCTTTGCCTGAGCAGTGCCCTCTGGCTCCTTAGGGATGACGCCCGCTGAGGGGTTTCCTGGCTTTAAGGTCATGGTTCAGGCTGGGCACAGTGGCTCACATCTGTAATCCCAGCACTTTGGGAGGCTGAGGCGGGCAGATCACTTAAGGCCAGGAGTTTGAGACCAGCCTGGCCAACATGGTGAAACCCCATTTCTACTATAGCCGGGCGTGGTGGCAGGTGCCTGTAATTCCAGCTGCTTGGGAGGCTGAGGCATGAGAATCGCTTGAGCCTGGAAGGTGGAGGCTGTAGTGAGCCAAGAGCATGCCACTGCACTCCAGCCTGAGTGACAGAGCCAGATTCTTCTCCCCACCCCAAAAAAAGGGGTCATGGTTCAGACCTCCATTGTAGGCCCACCCCCTTGCTTTACTAGCTGAGGGACCTTGTCTAAATTCTTTAGCCTATGGAAGCCTAAATTTCCTTATCTGCAAAATGGAGATTAATAAAACTTACCTTGCAGGACCTTTGTGGAAAAAAAACAAAAAACAAAAACCAAAAACTTGAGAAGGCATTCAAAGCACTTAGTTCGTGATCAGTAAATATGAGCTTATTGTTTTTCTAAGACAATGAGTAGGATTTTTGATCAGAAATAAATCATTCTGGTTGCCTTGGGCAAACTAATCTGCAATATAAAATATCTATAATAAATGGCTACTGTGTATTCATTGGTACTATTCATGTGCCAGGCACCATGCTAAAACACTTTATAAAAATGATTTCATCGAGACTTTTCCACAACTTTTTTTTTTTTTTTTTTTTGAGCTGGAGTTTCGCTCTTGTTGCCCAGGCTGGAGTGCAATGGCATGACC